GTGATCATTGTTTAAAAATTCTTGGCAGCAAGCTAATTACTACCCATCTAAAATTCAGCGTAGTTCAAATAATTGTGTTGTCATCTCTGTCCGTCTCCCTTTTTTCTGTCTTTTTTTAACTGACATTTAGACCATTCCTACTTCTACAGCTTTCATAAACTCAGGCTGTGGTATCAAGTATGTATTCTGAATTATCTGTCAGAATTAATGAGTGAGTTTACCCACAAGTGTGTCATTTTTCACTGTGTACAAAACAAGCTGGAAGGGCATATTTTAGTCCCTACAGCCTGCTGTAGGTATAACGTTATTTTGATGTATGGTGCAGTCTCCTTAATAAGATCATTGTGGGAGAATCTTGCATGCGGTAGGTGCGTAATATGCAGATGATATTTCTGGCTGACAGCAGCCATCACACTGATTCATGCAATGCTTTTGCTGTAACATTTTTTTTTTCTGAGCAGCACACATCAGCAGTCTCTTACGTATCTGAAGATTATCTCACATGCATTCTCTCCTGCACTCAAGTAGTGCTGTGGTGCAGTCGTTTACCCTGTGGAAAAGGCTGCTTTAATGCTAGAATTTTCCTGGGTTTGGTACAACAATGAGGATTGTACATTGCTTCCTGGAAAATAAAAAATGGACTGGAGCAGATGTGACAACGTTCTTGTAGTTGTGAGCATGCAGCTCTCCCACTTCCATGTGGTTTAGATGGGGCCTGGGCTGGACAAATGATTAAAGATGTTCATAATTTTAACCCTCACTTAGAGCTTGTCCTGAGACTGTGTGGTTTCTCTTAGAAACCAGGACCTGAGTCTCAATGCCTGGCTGAAGTGCAGTATTCCTGCTGCTGCGGTGGCAGTCCTGCTCAGCAGCTCTGCTCGTTGGGCTGCGGTTTAGGTGGAAGGGCCAGTAGGAGATGCTCCTGTCTGCGGGTTGTAGAACTCAGATTTTCTGCCTAGCACTTGGGTGCTTCTGGAAACTAGCCTTTCTTAAGAAAATGCAAGGTGAGCATTTGGTAGCTCTTGGCATTATTTTTTAAATGCTTGTCCGTGAGTATGACGGAGCTGAAGCTACTGAGCTAGTATCACTCTCTGCTAGGCTCATTTGAATAATGCCTTTCTACCATATCATTGGAAAGTTTGTTTCACATTCATCTTTTGTGTGGTTTTCTTGTATAATATGTAATAGAACTGAACTTAAACAGGAACAAAAACTAGATCAAATTTCTAGCTGTGAAAGATTTTGATCAACTTTAGTACATTTTATACTATTGGAGGAACACCTACATTCAGTAATAGAGATTGCCTTCTAATGGTGAGATCTTACTCATTATTGTTTGTTGTCACTGTCATTTCTACTGATGTTATAGGATCTTGGTTTACATAGGGTTGATGAATCTTCAGTCTGGAACATGAAGACATTTAAAGAGACACTTAAAGAGTAAATGAGTACACATGCAACCTGGGAAAGAAATTCCTCACTTTCTGCCATTAGATGTATAAGGGGTTTTTTCCGCCTTTCTGGATGCAGGGTGTTCACCCAAGAAGTAAATGCTGCTTTTGCTGATTTGGCAGGTTTGCATGAGGGAAGGATGAGCCTGACTTTGTAACTATACAGTAGCAATAATCACAATCAATAATCACTATACAGTAGCAATAAATCAGAATTTGAGGGTCTTTTAAAATATATTACGTTATAACGGTAATGTAAGGATGCATGGAGTCCCTTGATTTCTGTCAGGGCACTGTTCAACCAGTTCAACCACTCTTCTCTTCAGGGTCCCATAGAACACTGTTTCTAGGAATCAAATTCTCAGTCTTTTTTTGATACATTGCCCTGTTCTTACAGCTTTTTGTGTCTAATGAAATATAATGAAGTACTGAATCTGATTAAACAGAAAATAGCAGTTTTTGTAATGAGAAAGGAGCATAAAAATGATTTGGGATCAAGATACTGATTAGATTTTAGAAGTGAAATCTAATTAATGAGATCTGCCAATTTGATAAGTGATATTTGGATGCAGTTTTAATGAAGACGAGCCCTTTTCTGAGCTAAAGGAATGTTAGGTTAATAGTGGTAATGCTAAGTTATTTTCAGGATTTTGTTTACCTTGGAGAGTGCATTAGTTACAGTAGCAGCACCTGCATATTCTTGGGTTGGTCTTACTTTTTCCAGCAGTTAAATTATGGCCCCGGGAAGCTGAGTCATAAAACATTTACTGACTTCAGAGAGATTAGGAATTTGCCCTGAAGCTTGATTTTAATATAATATGCTATTGGGCAGTACATACATATAATGAACGCGATACCATGAAGTGACTTAGAGGGCTGCAAAATTCCCTTTAACAGTAAAACAAAATTAAAAAACACTATAAATTGATGGAGTTTTCCCATCTTTTCCATCTTTTTTTTTCCCTTGTATTTAGTGGTTTTATTTTTGTGTGTTTTAGCAAACACATAATCAGTTGAAGAGCCAGGCTAGCCCACTCATCTCCTTTGGGGGCGGTGATGGTTTGTAATGGTGTGGGATTGTGACAGGGAGCGCCAGTGGCTTCTCTGCGCCCTCAGTGGCAACGAGTACAAGTGAGGTGACTGCAGAGGCAAAATGACCCTTTCTCCATGAGGCAGACGAACCGCGTGGCCGGAGGCCTGTGCGGAGGCCGCTACCGTGGGCACTGTCCTGCTGGCCTGGCTGTTACCACAGCAACACGGGCCCTGCTCGCGTGACGCGCGACTGCCGCCATTCTGCACAACATGGCGACCTTCTCCTGAGGTGGCTCCAAAAAACCAGGAGGGAGAGAGGAAAAAGCAAACAAACAGACAAAAAAACAACTCTAACCTCAAAAATGAGGCTGCACTGAACGCGTGCAGGAGAGCAGCCTCAGCAGCACCAGCCAAGCTGCTCCTCTGGAATGGTTAGGTAGGTAGTTGAGGTCTGGATTCAAACATACAAACCAAAAAARAAAARAAAAAAAAAAAAAAAAAAAAGCCCTGACTGTGAGGTATTTTTGATAGAAAATAAGTTATTTTCATCATTTGTGGAAAAGTTTTCAGCCATTGAGGTTTTGGGTTGGTAGTTTTGTGGGTTTGTGTTAATGAAAGCCTGGCCATCCCCAGGGAGCACTCAGTAGTGTCGCAGAGTCTCTTGGTGATTTATACTTTTTTTTAATAATGTAAGGGAGCATTAAACTCCAAAAATCTACGACTCTCCTTTTAATACATATAGAGGATTTCTTTATGCATAAATATAGCCTGGTTTGAGCTGGAATAGTGTTTCTCTATGGCTGTTTGGGGCAGGACCCCAAAAGGCGGCCATGGTCTGAGTTGCCCCCGAGTGCAGCGAGGCCTCCTGCTCTGGCAGCAGGGACAGAAATGCCCCCTGGAAATACAGATACTTGTGTGTGTCCTTGGTTGCTGGAGCAAAACGTGGTTTTCTTGCATAAAGAGCAAAACTATTCCAAATTGTAGTTTTAAAAGCATTTTAGTCATTTGTATTCCAATTGTGATTCCGTGACATTGCAGAAAAATAATAGCTACCCAGGCAGTGATGAGTTTAATTCCTTTTGCTTTCCTGTTGTTTTTTGAAACCAACTATTGCAGTTACCTTAACACTGATTACCAAAAGTTGAAGGAGGTGATACCTCCAACCATGATGTATTATTTTTATAAGTCTGGAAAAGAAATCAAGTATATCTGTATAAAACTGGACTTCGTCAGATTTTATTGGAAAAGAATCATGGCAAAAACTTGCTAAACCCAATTAAGCTCCTTAGAGAATCGTTGCAGGAGGAGTTCTCAGAGAGGTGGATAAGCAGAGCAAGATGAGCTGGATAGGGGACTAAAGAAGGGTCAACTGTGGAGAGAAATTATGAGCGCCACTGGCTCTTCCATCTCCTCTAGCTTGTTCCTCAGATTAAAATGTGGAATATATACATGTACTATGACCTCTATTAAATCATACTGTAAATATACCCGAGTCAAAATTGAGTAGAGGCAAAATGGAAATGCTTGAAGGTTTGGAACAGAAAATTGAGAAATAACCCCTAAAATGCAGTCTAAAATACAGAATTTGACATGAAAAATAATTTTCAAGCTAGATAATTTATGCAATGCTTTTGAATTTTCTATTCTTAAAAATATTATTGTAATGCAGAAATTTAAGAATATTTGTTAGAATTAGCTTAAGCAAAGCCTTATGGTATTCTTGAAGAGAAACCTCTAATAAAAGCAGATTTGATTCTGTTTACTGTAGACCTCTTTCCCCTTAGCAGGAAGGAGCAACTGAAACACAAGAAAAATACAGAGTTCTATTGCATATGAAAAAAATAGCAATCCAAAAATTGTACCATGATGTAAATGTAAACAGAGCTTCATTTGCTAGGTGGAAGGGAATTGCAAAGTAACCTGATCTACAATTCATAGGTAAGCAGTATGTGTAACTACCTTTAATCACTTCTGAATTTTCTGCAGTCTAGTTAATCTGCGCTGTATAAATATGTTAATACAACAGATTTCAAAATATGTTATGAAGTGTTTCTACAACCAGAGTCTGAATCTGTTAATTAAGGAACGCAGTCCAAGTTATGAAGTAGTAGAGAGGTATGTAGACATTGCAGTGACACTGGTGCATCTCACATGGAGCTGAAGTGAATTTACCCTGGTAGAAGAGAGAAAAGTCATGTTTTATAGTGCCACAGTGCTGTGCTTTTATATTTTAATGCTCTACGCTTTCTGTGGTGTTGTGTGTTTATTTTGCTTTGTTATTAGAAAGCAATTGTTTCTCAAATGGAAGGCAAGCCAGAGGTGGAAAGCTCAGAAATAGCCTAATACTCTGATTAAGCAAAATTGCTTAATCTTGAAGCTGTTATTTTAGAAGAGTGACTTGCATTTGCTTTTAAAATGGCCATTTTGAACAGATGAGCTCTGTTGTATGGTAGCTGTGTTGCAAGTTGAATTGCATATCTGAAAAATATGTATCTTCATTTACCTCTTTTTTTCCAGCACTACGGCACTGGCATGCTCTTCAGCACGCAGGATGCGAAGAGAAACTTCCAAGAGTTTCCAGAAAGGAAAGAAGTTTGGAACTGAATTAGGTGAGTTTCAAAGAAAGTGACTGAATTGCCCTTATTGCAACTGCGGTATCAGATGGAATCTGAGGGAAAACATAGATAGCAACTAATAAAAACAGCAGTAAATTATTAGAAATAACCATTTTATAAATATTCAATTTCTTGGGGATTGATTTTTATAGAACTTAAAAATTTCTGATATTTATCTAATAATTAATGTGCAGATTATGTGTGGATATACAGCTCATTAAGAGCAAAGACTCTCTGTTCACATTTTTCTCTGAATGAACCAGATGGACTTGCAGATCAATAGGTAAGTTTCTATGGTTATTCCTGAAACAGTACAGAATTTAACTGAAGATTTACAGAAACATTTCTTTGCAAATGCTATTTAGAAAAGCCTATTCAGGATGCATTGCTGATAAAGCACACCTATTTTAATTATATTTTAAATGCCAAATATCTTATTTGCAACAACAAAGGTACCATAGAGTGACTATATTTTCTGTCTCAAGGTTAATTAAATCTAGAGTTGATATTTTTTCTGCCAGTGTTAGTACTAGTGTTTGCAAATCCACACATTGCCTGCTGTTCCTTGGGAGAGAATCATGCGAATGTAAAGATTCTCATTTCCTTTCTCTCTCTCCACACCTACAATCACTTTTGGACAGCCCTCTGCCATGGAAATTATAGTTTGTGCTTGGTGAAGGGTCTGCTTTTCCTTTAGTACAAGAGAACATGTGCATATGGGGAGGGGGAAATGCTGCTTTCTTGCCCAGAGAATTTAATCAGTGCCACAGTGCTGAATGGGTTGTTATTACAACTGAATTTCTTTGCAAGTTGACCTCATATTACAGCCAAGGTTTGAGATCTCTTTCCAATTCTTAGAGCTGATTTCTGGATAACAGGTGTTTTTGGAGTCGTCGTTATATTCAATCTGTGAAAAATAGCTTGTGAAAGCGTTTCATCTAAAATTTGTGGTTTTTCAGACCAGATATGATTTATGCAGCTGAAATAAATGAAGTAGTGAGAGAGATGAACAAATGATACTAGCTTGGGGGAGAATTTTCTCCTTCACCTTTAGATTTAGCTCCTGAAGTGAATGAGTTTGCTTCATAGGAGAATCCTAATTCCCATCATTTCTGTACTTCTACAGGAGTTGATATGTGGTTAGAATAACAGACTTCAAATTATGGAAGGGAGTTCATTCAAAACTCTTACGTTATGGTAGAATTGCAAACCACTCTGCTCCATAAGGACTTAAGTGTCATTCTTTTTCTGTGCAGAGTTTGTATTTCTCTTTTTGATTTATCTTGTACGTTGTCATTGCCTGAGTGTATCCTTTCCTCTTGCTTAATGAGAAAACATCTTTTCAATACAAAATTCTTGTTCTGAACACACAAAGGTTCTATCACAAGTAGAGGTCCTTGGAAAGAGATCAGCCGTAACCTGTTGAAGATGGTTTCCCTCAGCTTCTCCTAGGGACACTTGTTTTAGCAGTCTAAGCTCATGACTGTCTTAGTGGTGCATGGGAGCAGCATGAGGGAGAGAAATGCAGTAGTTTGAGAACTAAATCTAGATTTCACAAGATGCACAAGAGCAAATCCATTGTCCTGGCTTATAGCATATAGACTTTGTATTGCTAAATGCCTGGTTTACTGTGCTTTTGATTCCTCTCTTTTCTAATTTCTGCTTCTTGAGTAGCATGCTAACGGGGTAAACTCTATTGGGAAAAGTCTGGCTTTATTTGGAAAAGAAGATGGCATGTGTGCATAGAACGTGTGTCAACAGGTGAACTAAATCGTGAGGAGGAATAAAGACTCCTAGTTACTGCAGTAGAAGCTCGGTGGCAAATCTAAATATAGGACCTGGAAGAGAGTCTAACAGAAGAGGAGGTAAGATGGGAAACAAAAGGGCAGCATTAAACACTGAAGTGATAAATATGACAGCTACTCTACTCCTAAGGCTATAAAAACTTAAAAATGTTTGATTCAGTGGAGATATGTATATGTTGTGATAGGTTTATCTGAGCATCAGCGTAGAGCAATATCTTTTATGTGCAATTTTATCTAAGACATCTGCTGATCCTTTGCAGTGAGACCAGCAGACACAAAGAGGTTGGTCTGTGCTCTGATAAGATGTGTGTTAGGACTGTTGAGTAACCTAGGCTCAAACCTGCCCTCACATGTTGACGTGAACACAAATGGTAGCTAGATTCTAGTTTATGATCAGCTTGGAAACACAGTAGATGAGAAGGATCGGTCGCAGTGTTGTTTTTGCTGTGATCAATAGAAGATCTCACAGAATCACAGAATATTTAAGGTTGGAAGGGACCTCTATAGATCATCTAGTCCAACCTTCCTGCTCAAGCAGGCACGCTTAGAGCATGTGGCACAGGGTGGCATCCAGGTGGGTTTTGAAGACCTCCAGAGTAGGAGATTCCACAACCTCCCTGGGCAGCCTGCTCCACTGCTCTGTCACCCTCACAGTAAAGAAGTTGCTCCTCACCTGGAGACGGAACTTCTTATGCTTCAGTTTGTGGCCATTACCCCTCGTCCTATCGCTGGCCACCAGTGAGAACAGCCTGTCCCCTTCCTCCCTGCATTCTCCCTTCCTGAACTTATACATATTAATCATATCCCCTCTGAGCCTTCTCTTCTCCAGGGAAAACAGGCCCAGCTCACTCAGCCTCTCTTCATACGAGAGATGTTCCATTCCCTTAATCATCCTGGTTGCCCTTCTCTGGACCCTCTCGAGAAGCTTCATGTCCCTCTTATACTGGGAAGCCCAGAACTGCACACAGTAACATCTCTGTGACACATCTCTGTGACAATAAGCTGGGAAATGGTTTTCTAGAACAGCTTGTATGTCTGAAGAGTAAAATAAGTCCTTTCATGTGGTACTGCTGCCAAACAGAAGATGTAATTTAGCCATTATTTTCCCTGCAGAGAGCAGAAAGTTGCAGCCTTCTGATCTGGCTCTCGCTGCTGTCTGCTCCCTTGTTAGAGTGCTAGGAGTGGGTGGTGCTTTGATACAATGCACACCGTAGGCAGTTATAAATTTCCTTGACAAGGACTGTCTCTGGTTTATTTACTGAGTAGTGCTATTGAGATCCCAGTTATGACCGAGCGCTTTGGCTGGAGCTCTTATGTCTGTTTATTATAGACAATGAATGCCAAGGTCACAATTTCACAGAAGAATTGTAACGATCCCAAATTGGGCTGATGGAGTAATATGGCTAATATCTTTAAAATTTCTTCAGAGAGTAAACCTGCTATTTTAGTGTATGTAATATTTTACATTGTAGTCTACATTAGACCTACTGCTTACATTTCAGGGCAGACTATACCAAAGCAATATACTGTTTTAATATTGGGAAAAAGTCAGATTTATTTTTTCAGCAAATCAGATTTGCAAAATACCAAGTTCTGCTTCAGGCCAGTCTATAGAACATCTAATCCATCAGCAGATGTAATTTTAACAGTAGGATTGTACTGTGCTATTCAAGACACTGCAAAATTTAGGAAATTGCAAAATAATAACTACCACTGTAATTATAACAGCAGGGCTTGAAAATAATTCTAAGTGTGTGAGAAATAGGTGCACCTGGAGCTCTACTTGCTGAATAAAATGTTGTCCTTTTATTTTCAGTTTTTAATTTTATGCAGCATTATATGTTTTTAACTGTATGAAATGTGATTATTTCCCTGGAATTCAAGCAGCAAAGGTCACACATAATTGTAATGATGACTTTGTCCTCCTAAGAGATGTTTATAACATAGAAAAGAAAGTTTGTTTTTTATTGTTCTTTTTTTATTTGAGATTGATATTTACCTAGTAAAGCAAAACTGACTAATAGATGCCTTAAGCTAAAAGGCATCTTTATGCCTTTTTGTATTTTCAGTGAATGCTACAGTTATTAGGAAAAGAATAATGAGATGAAAACTGCGTTAAATCCTCATAATAAGGCCTGGAAAACATGCTCACAAAAAGATAAAAACCCTAAAGTTTAAACCAGCATATGGAGAACTTATGCTTAGTTTGCAAGTAGAATTTATCTTTACTGTGGAATCACATAAACCTTAAATGAATTCCTCCGTATATTTGTAGAGTCAAATCTTGGATTATTGGGTAGGGAGAGTGATATCAGCTATGTTCTGTAGCCACCAGCCACTGAACAGCTATTCCAGCCCCCCTTCACTTAACCTTCTTGTACTGAATTTGGGTAGTACTTAGGTAATGTTAATGAAGTCAAAATGCTTTACTAAATAATCAACATAATTTTAGTCCATGTGTAAAGTAGAACTTGTTATGGATAAGACTGTGAAAAGCTACTGCTCAGTGATTTAATACAGCACATGCAGGTGTAGATAAGTGATACTATTTCTTTAACATTTTATCATGTTATGACAATTTAATTTCCTACTGAGTATGAATAATTTCACTGCAAAATAATTTATTATTAATACTAATTCAGATATTGGATGGGCTGTGTGATCAGATGGCTATATCACTGAAATCCTGCAGGTATTTTCCTTTTCGATAATTTAAAATACTCTCATTAATATCATCTTTTTCTGTAAGCACCGTATACTTTACCTTGAAAAATAAAGCAGCTCAGAGTAAAAAATGAATGAGTCTGTTGCTTGTTTCACTGCAAAAATTGATGAGGCAGAACTTCTGTCAGTAACTGATCCAGTGACAGAATACTGTGAAATGAATCTTAATTTTCAGCTTCCTTTAAAAACACAGTGCGTCTCTTCCCTTCTCCCCTCCAAATTCAGAATGCAAGGGTGGAAAAAGAATGACCAACTTGGATTTCACAGTCTGTTACAGTTGCAAAATCCAGTGCTCAGAACCAAGGAAATACTATGATTAAAGCTCTTGGATTATAATACTCACTACTTGGAGGGATTTGGCCCTTTTTGTCTCTAAGAAGCATTGTGAAGATGAATTAACTTGTTTGTGAATAGCTTGGATGGAGTGAGTGCCATAGAAAAATATATGAGTAAATTAATACTTGTGTCTTCAGGTCATGGTTTGAATTTTATGCAGTAAATAATATCTGAGGATGCAAGAAAATGTCGAGCAGATACTTGTTAAACTGCTGATGTCTGGGGTGTTTAAGCCACACACTCTCATCCATAAAGTAAACACAGGCAGTGCTAATGTTGCAATAGGAACTCTAATTCTGGCACTTCCAGAGTTTTGTCTGCATTTGTTTTTTAGGCTAATACAGCTACTAGAGGAAAACACAAACTAATGCCAACAGTGCAAGAACAGGAAGGTAAAATCTACTTATGAATCAATTGTCATGAGGAATTGCATGTAAAGTTTAAATTCTTTGTAACAATGCAATAAACTCCTTTTATTCAGCTGCAAAGTACTGCATAACCATCTGGTTTTGAACTGTTAGAATCCTTCTCTGTTAAATGAGTTACTATGAGAGGAGTATGTTTCCTGTGTTACCTTTCTTTTGTCATCCCCAAACGCTTACCTCAGTTCCCAGAAGAACTTCTAACCTTGTTGATTAGCTGAATGTGTGATGGTTTGAAATGGATTTTAAACTTTGTATGAAAAGTTTATTCCCTGGCCAAGGAATGTTAATGGATTTGGGTAGAGCTCATTTAAAGGGTTGTTTACTTGGTTCATTAAAATGGATCCTCTTCAAGACTTAGGAGTGCTCAATGGCCAAACCAGAGAGAGGCTCATGTGATCTCCACACCGTTGCCATGTCAGGCTGGTTTAGGCTATCCACAGAGTTAAGGGAGCATCTCAGTTTCATCTGGTGGGCGCTTGCCTCCCGGAGGCGATGTTCTGCTGTTGCTTTGGGCACACTGGGCTTGCAGCATGAGAGTTTTGCTGCCTGTGAGGCTCCTAGCTTGCACATGCTGCCTCTGCGGGATGAGCGCCTTGGTGACAGCTTGTACTGGGGATGCCCTGGGTAGCAATGGGTTAAGTGTTCAAAATTCAGCTCATTTCTCATTGTATGTTCCATTAGCTTTGTATTATCCTTAACATGAATTTGATGCAAAAATTTGTGTTGTTTTTCTATTCAGTATTGCTTTCCTAGACTAGTTGTTGGATTACACTGCTGTAAAATCAGTGGAGCAGAAGCTGGAAGTGTTGCTATAAACAATAGGATAGCTATTGCCAGGAGCCCACAATCTCCAGTCTGAATGTTCAATGGCTTCTTTAACAGACTAACTTATCAGTGTAACCGTAATTATAACCAGGAATTTCAACTTTACCAGAGATTATTATTAAAAATTATTGAATTCATAATAACTATGTATAATTATATAATTAGCAGCATTGCCATAGGTGAACTGAGAAACAACTACAGTTTTTCGCCTCCCATTGCCTCTTTCCTGTTTGCATATTTTGTACAAGTTCAGGAATCTCATGACATGTTTGTGGCAGTTCAGGCCAACTGTACAATTGAGGGGTAAACTACTTAGGAAGAAACCAAGGTAATTTCATTAAAATATATAAAATAAAACCTCTTCTCTAAGTGTTGAATTCAAGTGCTCCCCTGTCCTAGGGGAGAGGTTGCTCAGCATGTAGAGCACTGAACCCCTGTGAGGTTAATTTTCTGTTTAGCTGGATGAAATTGCTTCCTTGGTTGTTATTCTCATCTGCAGAACAGAAATATTTGTCTTCCTTTCCTTTATAAAGTAGAGGAGAAGGCCAGATGATTTTCCTTTACCTCCTCTATGCCTGCAGTGGTTTCCAGCTCTTGGTGGACTGTTTTCTAGGCTATGAGTCCCCACCTGCAAAGTTTTCTTCTCTCTGAGGTATTTGGATAACTTTGATCACCTTTGTCAACCCCTCTTCAAACTCTGCTGTGCCCTCATTCAGGTATGAGGATGAGAGCTGCACACAGTGA